TCACGCGGAGACCATAAAAAAGGACATCTCCCCCCGGTGCTGGCAACCGAGTGGCAGCTCCCTCCCCGCTGCCTCAGATAACACCCTCCAGAGCAGAGCTTCTCCTCCTCAAGAGACGGAGGCTGGGATGGGAAAAATTGCAGGTGTGTGGAACTCCCTGGGATGACAGGGATTTCAGCCAGTGAGGGCCGGAGCCTGCTCCTCCAGATCGGCAGAACTCCGTCTTCCCAGGGCAGAGCCCGTGCCCAGGGCACCACCTCCACCCTTTAGTCGCTGCCCTCTCGCAGAACCCTGTTATCGACTACCCCGAGCTTTATCAGAGGTGCTTATCGGCCGCAACAGGTAAAGCAAACACGCTCCCAGCGCCACGCAGGGAAGGTTATCACCCAACAAGCCAGAAAGGTGACGCTTCCGCCCTCGGCAAACCGCAACCGGAGATTGCCGTGCCGCCACGCTTCTGGCACCGGAGCCAAATCGGAGCACGGTCCCAGGGGACCGATGCCGGAGCCTTGATCCGCGATCGCTTGGTTAACGCCGAGGCTCGCTGGCAGCTCGCAGCCGCGCAGGGATGCAGTGACACGGGCTGCGGCGGCACGGCAGAGCCGGCAAACAGCCACCAGGCCTGCAGAGAGGAAGTTATTCACGGGAAAAGAGCTCGGCTCCACGGGCAGGGGGTGATGCCGGAGCAGGTGGGGGACAGGCAGGACAGCAGCGGGCAGGATGAGTGTCAGCAGGCAGGACAAGCACAGAGCTGGAGCCCATCCCTGCGCCCGCAGCGATGCCGACATGGCACAGCAGCAGAGCCCAGGCAGAGAAGCTGTCCCAAACCGCTTCCTAAATAAAGAGAGCGGCTCTTTTGCCATCCTGTGCTTCCCTAAACACGCCCTGCTCCCGCTCCGAGGGGCTCATCCAAAGCAAAACCTGTCTAAATAATGCCCCGTAGACTCAGGGAGAGCCAGGATGGGGGTGCCGCACCCCAACACCAGCTGCCCAAACAGCCTGAGAGCCCCCGCACCCCCACGGGCCTGACCCAGTGCCATCGCGGTGTGACGGAGCC